ATGAGAGAAAAAGTTAGAAAGAATAAAATAAACACCACTAATGCATCTGAAATCTAATGGTTCTAAAGAATAGTGAAGGCCTCATCAAACAAATGTTCGCATTTTTATGCATGTGTAATATGCAAAATATCATGTTTGTCAACAAAATCATTTTCTGTCTAACTTTGGTGTCAGTTAGATGGAGCTGAAGATCAGTGTATAATTTGTTTTCTTATTAATAATAATACACTATATATTTCAAATGACAGGATGTATTATTTTCCTATCTGATGTGTTGACAGGCAAGAAAAAGTTGTAATAAAATGTAAGAAGCAGAACAGAATAATCCCAAATAGCAAAATAACATATTTTTGCACATCTGTAGCCGGTTTTCTCTCAAAAATAAATGAAGTGATTATTAGTTTTAATCCAGATGGAAGTACTGGATGATGCACCACTCGTAACCACTGGCTTCTTCAGTTCATCTGCCAGAAATGTTAGATCGGTTGCCAGATTTCTGCGTTTGGGAAATGTGTGAAAGCCGGATATCCTCTCAAAATTATCAGGCAGTGACGTGTGGTGGGAAATGAGGGGCCAAAGTCCCCTTTCTGGGTTTGTCTCGATGTAGATGTGACTGAAAGTGGAGAAAAATTATTGTGAGAGTTGTTTACTTATAGTAATTTATGGGTCAAAGATGAAAAGGAGTTTTCAAGCAATTTATGGGTCAAAGATGAAAAGGAGTTTTCAAGCATCAAAACAATTAAAGTTTAATACAGCTTTAAATTTAGGCCTAGATATTTCTTGTACATTAGGATGTGTCCTGTTTAATTTGATTTTTCTGAGCAAAAATGACACATTTTTACCATGATTTATAGAAAAGACATATAATTCAGCGTAGCAATAGTTTATATAGCAATAAATCTTGTCAGGCATATTTAGAACAAGAATCATAAGATGGCATTAAAATACTCCGTTTAAGGATCAGTGCAGCAACACAATACATATTAATTGTGATTTTAAATCTTTACCAATCTTTGCAACTGCCTTTCAAACCACTTGTTTTTACCAATTTGTCAGCAAGAAGTTTTTGAATTTTTAAAATATAATAGAATTTAGTTTGATCACTTTTTTTCTTTTATGTACTTTAATAAGTGCAGGTCAAAATAAGTATGCAGTTTCATTTTTACATATGTCTCTTACGCTGATCGAACATTACGGTATTTCACCCATATCTTGACATTTCATTTTTACATAAGTTATTTGAAACTTTAATTAGACACTTTACTTGTGTTTAATATGCTGTGGATGTATATAAAATCACTTTTGTAAATGTAATTTGATGCAGACAACAAAACAAGCTGATTTGCGGACCAGTTATTATGAACATGATAGACCATGGTTAGGTTATTATTGTAAACTAAACCTAAAATCATTAAAAAAAATGTTAATCATTAAAAAAAATGTTACTTGAAATAAAATAAATGTTAACTGAAATGAAATTAAATATAAAAATTAAACTTTCATTTAGTTTAACTTTGATAACTAAAAATAAAAAACAAAAAATGGCAAAAATACTTTTTTTTTTTTTTTTATAAAATTAGTAAAAATTAATACAATTATTGAAGACTATGTAGCTGTATTTTTTTTTTTTTAAATAATGAAAGTGACAAACTCACCACTAAATGACTGAATTATTAAAATATTTCAAAATATATACAAAAACTGTAATAGTGTATACTAAAATAACTTCACAGTGCTATGGAGGCAACTACCTCCTCTTATATTTGCCTGTACTTTGCTGATACCCGTCACATTTACATCAAGCTTTAGAAGCTCAGTGTGAACAGAACAAAAGAACAAATGAGACACTTAATCTGGTAGTGTCACTGTATAAAAATTAGTGCTTAACATAATATTGATCTTCTCAGTCAGTTTTTTTTTGAGGCACGGCATTCCTTGCCTTCTCTGTGAAAGTGCCACTGGATTCTTGAATTTCAGGTCAATTCAGGTGTGAAGGTGGAGAACTCAAACAGAAAGTCTTGAAATGAAAGATCTGAGTGTGATATTGTTCCTGTGTCAACAGGAAATCATATAACCTCATAATCCATCACGTCTGTTGGAGTTAAAGGTGGGTGGGGTGTGGATGAACAGGAAAGTCTCTCTTTTCTCAACAGCTGTGCCTTACTATCATTATGAGTCTTGTCTCATTAGAAGACAATGTGTCTTTCTCTTTTAACAGTGGCAGCGAGGCGATCTGTAACTCAAGTCATGTCTTTAACTCTGCGCTTCAAAGAGTTTATGGAAAGAGCTTTTCTTTGCAGTGACCTCCAGCACTGGATAAAACATGGCCTTCATAAAAGAAACGGAGTCCTTCCGTCAGTAAAGAAATACCCGTCGTAATGCGGAGCTTAACGGGAGACAAGTACTTTATGAACATTCAGTTTTTGAATTTGAAATTTGCATGCTTTATCTTGTGGGAAAATATATTTATAGCTCGTCATGCACACAGCAGCATGAGTTATCCAATGAAATGCTCTGTAGGATGGAAATATCCCTCCCCTAATATGCTTCTGGTGCTTGTGTTTAGCAGAATCACAAAATAAAAGGGATTCGTAGTTTTGCTTCTGCAGGACTGCTTGTTGTCTATATAATATTATATATTTATATTTAAGTAAAAAAAAAAATAGAATATAGTTGTAAATATGTAAATAAATAAAGAACACAATTAATTTAAAAATGTATGTTTTAGTTTTTCTAATTTAACTTATCATTTTAAAATATTTTTTTCCTAAACTATTAGGCGTGATTTCCACACTACCACACTAAATTAACATAAGGAAGAATATTTATTATTTGTGTGTGTGTGTGTGTGTGTATTTCATTAAAAATATATTTTTTTAAATGTAAATAATAAATATAATAATTACAATTTATATGTTTTATTTAACTTTTTATTTAAATTTTTATTGAATTTATCATTTTAAAATATTTTTTCCCAAACTTAATCTAAGCTTTATAGGCATGGTTTCTATACTAAATGAACATAAGGAAGAATATTTTTATACATTTAGTCATTTTCATTTGTACTTTTATGAATTTTTTTTTAGCAATGTTTGAATGCAGTTTTATTTTTACTTCATTTTAGAACTTTTAACCATCAGCAACTCAGATCTTGCTCACTCAATACATGAGCATGTGCTAATCGGATGCCTGTTCTAGGATATCTATGAGGATTTTTAGCCTTCACATTCATTAATATTGCTCGAAGTGCATTTCCCAGGCAGCAGCGATTGTTTTTTTTTTTTTCCCTTCAGCGGTTTTGTTCATCTGGTGGTAATTTCCATAAATGTCAGTGTTGAGAGAGACCATACGGAATGACGTGATTTTCGCGTAAAGCTCATCTCAGTCTGTCAGTCTCTCTCCAATTTCATTATCTCTGTCTGTCTCTGTCTGTCTGTCTTTATCTGTCTGTCTCTCTCTGAGTGTTTTATGTAGTTAGTAATATGAGAGGGTTTCCCATGCCTGCAGCTAAATGAAATTAAATTCAGTTCTGTGATGTTAAAGAATAAGGTTATATCTAGTAAAGTTTGACAGGATAGAAACTTAATACACATTCATCAATGTATTGCAAACAAATACTTGGATGGCAAAGCATATTTCATAAGTTTTCAGAATAGAGTGATTTAATAATGAACAATTTAATAGTAAAAATGTATACGGTTTGACAAAGAATATAAATTACCATGCAACTATGAACAAATAACTTTTTTTTTTAAATATTATATATTCTATTATATTTTTATATTTTATTTTTGTTATAGTATTCATTTATTTGTTTTATTTATTTATTATTTTATTTAAATTTACTTTTAAGAAAGATATAGATATATAAATATAGATATATTTCTGGGTGGAGTTTCAAGTGGGTGTTTCTTTGAAGCCTTTTCTGGTTAGCCATACAGGGACTGACTTGTAAACAGGCGATATCTTGTGCTGCATAAAGATCATGATGTTCTTGAATGCTGTTGACTTCTTGTACCACTGTTTTAAGGACGTGTCTTCCAGAAACGGGCAGATTTAAGTTCATTTGCAACCTGAGAAGGTTCAACTTGCTCAGCTAATCTTTAAAAAATCTTCAGGTATTTCTTGGCCCATTTTCACTTTTCATCTTGTGACATGGCTTCAAACTTTCTTAAGAAAGTTCTCTACAAGAGCCTGACACTTTGAACTTCTGGAGAATCCCAGTAGGTTTCAGTTCATGAAGATGTTGACTCTAGAAACTCGAGTGTCTTTTTGGTTAATTCATCAAGTCTTTTGCAGTTCATTTGCACCTCCTCCTTTCAGCACATTTTGAAACCCTATTGACTATTATTAACATGATTTTTGTCGCCTGATGGTCACGTTTTTTTTGTAGTTGTTTGGAGTGAGATTTCTGGTTTGAACTATTCCTTTTAAGGAGCATTGATTCTCTGAAGATGGTTTATTTCCGTCCCTTACTATTTGAAGTTTTGACATATAAATGAATGGTGTTTGTAAGAAAGATTAATTGCAGATGTTAAAATAAATGTGGCTTAATTTCCTTTAACACTTCCACAAAACGCACCCATATGGTAATATTTAATAAGACGAGAAACTGACCAGAGGACGAGGAGGAAGTTGTATAAACGGTCTGATTTGTAGTGGATGAGAGGCACAAATGCACAGCAAAAAATATGTGTGCCTTGTTAGGCAGTAAAAGTAACAAAATATCGTAAATCAAAAAGATAAATTTAGATAATGTTGATGCTCAAACAAGCAGAGCAATAATATGGCAGTATTTATGTTTTAACCTACCAACGAATCCCTTGTATGTATTTTCCCTGTTGAAAAATCCAGCATATGCTGGTTAGGCATGTAACCAGCATATGCTGGATTTTTCAACAGGGTTATCATCGAAAAAAAAAAACACGTTTCACCTTTAAAAGAGGAGTAATTATTTTTTTATCGGTTATAGTAATTATTCCTCATGTGTTTTATTCCAGGTTCCGGCGCGATGATGTCACAGTGATGTCACAGAACTGAAGCAGAGGCCGTCATTGACAGTAAGTGAAACCTCACACATACTGAAATCCCCACACAGTTGTGTATATTAGGGGTTGCACCGAATAGTCGACTTCAATGCTCTGCCATGAGGCTTTAAGCTTGACGTCGACTAGTCGCTGGTCCTATAGAGGGCGCAACAGGATTAGAAATCTTTGAAGGACTTACACATTTACGCTCCGTTTCCAAACAGTTCATATGACAAATAAATGCATACTCTGAAAGCGCTCCACAAGACATGTGTGATTATATTACTGGATGCTCGAAATTGAACGGGAGAATGCACGTTTTAAACAGCTTATTGTACAGGTAAGTTAATCGCCGTTCTAATCTAATGCGCTGCTGCACTGTAACGCACACACACAGCTACAGACAGTAGCGCACATCACGCGCACAGAGTCATTCCGCGCGGAAATGTATTGTCAACACTGTTCTGTGATTTCTCAATAAAATAGCTTAGAAACTGAAAAGTTCAAGCATATATTTCTTAATAACTAAATTCCACAGCTTCACTACTAGTAGAGAGACGCTGCCAGGTAGAATTAATTTACACACGCAATCGCTCTCACTAATGCATTCATATGAATGTAATCTTTACTGTGCTACTCTATCTGTATCTGATTTAGAATGAGCAGAAATCTGTGAGAAATATAACGCCCCAAAGACAAAAGAACTGATAAAAAAGCTGTTATAGGAGCAACAGCCATGTGTGCAGTGCTGTGTCATATGCCATAGCTGTGCACAAGGTGTTTATCACAGCTCCAGACTTATTTGTTCATTAATGACGTCATCAGTGACTAGTCGACTTCGACTCGACTTTCATCGCATAAGTCGACTTCAAAAAATCATAAGTCGTTCAACCTCTAGTGTATATGTGGTCCAAAATCCAATCAGCCGATCATTATGGCAAAATAAACCATGTTGTGAAGCTGAAAGGATGTCGTGTTGATGGTTACGTGTGGATTTCTGCTGCGTCTGTCCTTCAGCGAATGATTGCTGTGATGCGATCAGAGGAGACGGCTCATTAGGTCAGGAATGTGTTGAGCTGTAATGACACGCTCGTCAGAGAGATCAGATCGCATCTCTAAGGTCAAAGCCAGTGGGAGGCTGCACACAAACTCACAGTAGAGCTTAATGCTTTAGCTTAGTCGGTCACTGCCTCTCATGGCTATGTCCGAAACCAACAGCAGTCAATGAGTTTACAGAAAGCTGAGGAAACTGCTTTCAGACCGTCTTCCAAGGCATCGTCTAATCATGTAGAGGAGGGACTCTCAAACATATATTTGTTAGCTGAACAGCAAAAATATTTGCTTAAAGTATCCCTGATATTATTTTGAACACCACGTTTGCATTTTCACGGTTCTCGGTTAAAGGTCACATGACATGCAGGTAGACAAATAAATAATTTCATATTTTTTTGTAAGTGTTTTATTTTGATTTGCTTTTAATTTTTATATTTTTTTTATGATTACATTAATTATTACAAATTTCCTGCAGTTCCCTCACAAACCTACCTGAAGAACCAAACTAACATTTTATGAATACTCAATGCTTATTTCTTTGTAGAAAATAATTATGATTTGGAAAGCTATGTTAACTTGTCAACTAATTTATTTCAGGATGCCATTTTTTTTGTAAATATTTGTAAGTATTACAAACGTAATGTGTTGGAAATTTTTATTTTTATTAATTTTGTGTCACTTATATACTATTACTTTTTTTTTAATATTTGATCATTTTTATTTTATTATTTTCTGTTTTCATTTTAGTTTAAGTTTTAGCATTTTTTTGGTCTTGTATATGCCTGTAATTGTTATTTTATTTTATAATTTTTTTTTATTTTAGTTTATTTTAATAATTTTAGCACTTCAACCAAAACTAAACGAAAATGAGAATTGTTGCTTTGGCAACTAGCTGAAGTAAATTTAAGGTTGTTTGTTTTTTGTTTTTTTTAATATTTTATTTAATGTTTAATTCTACTACAGTGAGAATAAAAGTTACGCCTTCTTTCTTTGCATGAACATTTGGGCGGTGTTATGCAAATCTTCCCACATCATGACGTAGACATGTGGGGGCGTGTTAGAACGAGCCGTTTTAGGTAGGTGTGGCTGACTCTTAACTTTTATAAAGAATATCTCTTTGGATTTGAGACTTTAGTCTTTGCAACTTTACAGATCTTCTTTATGCACCAAGAGCTTGTAACACTTCAAAGAGAAAGGAAAAATTGAAATCGCATCATATGACCCCTTTAACAATTTTATATGCTATGTCATTTTTGTAATATTACTATTTATCTTTGATTTTAAATTTGATATTCTAGTCATTTTAGTACTTAAACTTTTCTAATTGAACATTTCTAATTTGAAGTTTTTATTTCAGTTATTGAAAACCATTTTGAATGTTTTATTTACCAACAACAACATTGAAACAACACATAAATGAAATGCAAACGCAGAGGGACTGCTGGGTTTTCGGTATGATTTTATCACTGGATGTGTTCTGGGAGGAGGATGAAAACAGACAGACGTGTTTTGTAATGTTCTTCTCAAGCACTGCTGAGATGATTGTGGCCTGAGGTCACAGCAGAACCTTATGAGATCCATCTTTGGAAAAATCAATCCTGCCACTAATCAGTGTGTTTTGGGGTGCTAAAATCACGGCGGTGAAGTGGCGATTCATTAGAGGAGAGCGTGTGGTAGCTGTGGGGCTCAGCTGGGATAAACCTACAGCAGGTCAGGTGAGGTCGCCCTCCTTAAGTACCATCACAAACACACAGATAGGGTTGTCCAAATCTGTCCATCTGAGGCTCCATGGAGGGAAGTGTTAACACGCATGGTTACAGCCTCCTCCGGTCCGTTCACCTTCTTTCGTTTTGCTTTTGTTTTGCAAGATACAGTGTGTTTCATAGTGCAGTGAATTCTCATGTGAATAGATCATGGAAATTTTCAAAGTGTTCAGACAGAGCTTTTATTAGTGTCTCAAAACAGCGTTACAGGTGGAATGTTTGATTCATTTGCACAAATCTGTTCAGACTGTCAGTGAATTGATTCAAGCTCTGATTCAATGATTCGTTTGTCATCACTCAGTGTTCACAGAAGTCTCAGATTTTCTTTTTTATATTAAAATGCTGTAGTATAGTTACATATTGCATTATTATTTTACATATTATTGAGCATTTAATTGAACTTGATATCGAATTGAAGCTGTTTTCTTTTTTCCAAAGGAGTTTAAATTTCAATTAAATGTTAAATGTGAGAAGTAAATTATATTAATAAAATTAATAAATTATTAATTTATATATATAAATTAAATATTTATAGATGAATTCATAAAATAAGTAAAAATAAATAGTTACAGTCATACTATTATATTATATTACATATTATGGTGTATATAACTGAAAATTATTACTTGATATTGAATTTTTTTTTCCAATGAGAGGAGCCCTAATTTCAATGAGATGGTAAATGTAAGAAGTAAAATACATTCATACAATTTATGAATTAATGCATAAATATATCAAATATATAAATATTATTAAAATGTTGTAGTAAACATTTATAGTTACATACTATTGTATTACTATATTACATATTATGGTACATGTATTGAAAAAAAAGTATTGAAATTGATATTGCATTGAAGGTGTTTTTTTCCAATGAATTGCTAATGTAAGAAGTAAAATATCTTAATAATAATCTTAACATTGCCACACTGTTTACCATTTAATGAACAGAAAAAATGTCACAAATTCATAAATTCATTCAAAAGACCAAAAATAGTTTTTTTTCTTTTGGTCTAAAAATTATATGTTTCACAGTGCAATAAACTTATATCTGAAACGATCATGGAAAATTTGATACAAGCTGCTGCAGGAATGGATTCAAGTAGCATTGAGTTGATGCAAGTAGCTTCAACCTTGTTTTCTTTCCTCTGTAAAATTGACTCAAGTAGCCGCTGGAAAATTCTGCCGCTTTAGGGATGTGTGTCTGAAATAACTCCAGTAATATCCGCTCTCCTCTTCGAGCTGCATAAACGGCACTTAGCGGGATGAGAGCGATGCTGGCGGTGCTGAGAGAGAATATCTGTGCTGTCAGCTCTTCTCGCCGCTCGTAGAGGTGAAGCCAAGGTGAAAGCAGACTTGCAGAAGGGTTGGAAATCATTGATATTCTGACTCGCAGGCTGCAAATGGCTCAGTGGCAGATGGAGTCTTTGTCAGTGAAGAAAAATGGCAGCGAGGGAGTAGAGGCGCTGTTTCTCCCCCCCATCGACGAGTGAGTATGGGTGACCTTCCTCGCTTGGGGGATTCCAGCTCCACTTCTTGATCAATTAGCAGTCTCTCTTTGTTTACCAGGGATGTGGAAGAGGATCAGATTATGCAGTTTTAGGACAGGCTGTGATTGTGAACACTGGTAGTGTCTCTATGTAAGTACAGAAAGGTTTATTAGAATTTATTAGATTTAGTCCGTATTGAAATATAGAATTATTTAAAAAAATGCAGTACCAAAAACAGTTTTAGATGTGGAAAGTTTGGTTCACATGTACAAATCTGTTTGATCTGTCAATTTCAGTGAATCGATTCAAACACAAAATTTGATTGTCATCACTCAGTGTTCACAGTCTCAAATTTTCTGTATATTCAAATGTTTTATAAAAAAAAAAATAGTTACATGTTGTGTTATATTACATATTTTGGTGCTCTGCTTGAAATTGATATTGAATTTGTAATATTTTTTTCCTTTTTTTTTTTCCTCCCTTTTTTTTCACCTTCAGAGGAACCAAAGAAGTAGTAAAACCTATTAAACATCTAGTTAAAATAATCAAGACATGATTTCCACTGTTTATTACTTGATGAACACAAGAAATAGTAATGTTTAATCATTTTGATTTATGGAAATGATAGTTCTTCTAATTTGGGGGGGAAATCTTGAGCCATTTTGGTGCAGGTTCATAAATAAAAGTAAAAATAAATATTTAAGATATAGAATAAATGAAATAATTT